CGGGAGACCGCGAGGGGCGCCGAGCCGGACCCCGGGCGTGAAAAGACGTTGGGCGGGCTGCAGAGGGAAGCGCCTGGGAGGCTGTGGCGGCGGAGGTTGAGCAAGCCGGGGGTGGCCGGAGGAAGTGCCCAAGTTTACATCACGCGCCTAATAAACAACTCGGTGACCTCAGGACACCAGCCTAATGCTTGCTTCTATATTGGGTTGACTTCGTTTTTATTGGGCTTATACCTTCGGAAATTACAGGGAGGATAGGAAAAGATTGAGATGTACGCAGGCCAGGAAAATAATTTCTTTGTGTGTGCTGGTTAGTTTTAAAACTAATCTTATTAGTTATCTTTTTTTGTGCCTTACACAACCAGTGAGTTTATGAAGTAGCCAACTGTATTCATATATATGAAGGGTGCATCACTCAGTAGGTTACTAATGTTTAAGGGTGGAAGATTTGTGCCCTGCAGTGTCCTAGAGCCTTGTCGATGAGGTGGGCTGGAGGAAAGGTGAGCAAGGGAGGAGAGTTGTTGATCTCTTGGCCCGGCAGTTTGTTTTTCTTGATACACAATCCCTGAAGCCGGACAGCTGGCAGTGTCCTTGGAAACCTAAATCCAACAGTTGTGGCTTGTTTGGGTTGGGAAATGAGTCACTGCGAACGCAGTCAAAGAACACCCTGCCCGAGGTTCATGTTCCTGGGCTACCTCGGAAAGCAGATGAGGTCACCTTGCAACCAGAAGGGTCCCGGGGTGGGCGGGAGGCGTGAGCTGCCCTGGTACCCAAGCCTGGCAAAAGCGGCTCAGAGCCACTCCTGAAACTTCAACCTACTGCGCGGGGAAGGCGAGAATGGAAAGGAAGAACAGGATTAGACAACAAGGAGAAGCAGGCAACGCCACATCAGGCTAGGGTCCGGGCAGGCAGAAGGCGCCCCACGACAGAGCACGTGCTGACAGCCCCACCACCACCGCAGACCAAAACAAACCGGCGCGGCCCCGCCCCGCGTGCACGTGACCGGGAAGCGCCGTTTCCGGGGGAGGTGGCTCGGCGCAGTGAGTCCTTCCGGTTTGTGGGGGGTGTTGGGGCTGCAGACCCCTCAGCTCCGTGCTCCGCGTATTCGCGTGGAGGTCGCCTCACGGTGACCATGGCTGCGGACACCCAGGAGAGCCCTCGCCTGGCCCCAGCAGCTGGAGCTGGCGGGGACGAAGGTAAGTGCCAGGCTGGGGCCAGCGCCTGGGGCAGCCCTGTGCGTCAGGAGGCTTCTGGTCACATTCTGGACCTCTGGGTCCGTGCTTTGGGCTATGGAGAGAGTGGCTAGTTTATAGTAAAAATGGCCTTCCTCCTCCAGTTGTTCTGTCCATATTTTTGTTCGACACACAGGACTCGGGTTCCCTCATTCTAGCAGTACTGTTGCACGCACGCACAGGGTGTTTTGAAAGAGTTGATTAAAATTAAGTTTGTGACATTTGGAGGCCACTTCTTGAGGTAACAAAATAAATTGGTATTTTTGTGGGCAGGGCTTAGGAGCTTTTATTCAATTATCTGTAGAACCCTGGTTTAGCAAATGGGTGAGGTTTGCAGGTCCGTGAGCTGGATGGAGATCACTGTTAGCATTTAGGGAGTGACGGCTCCGTGTACTGCACTGTTCGGTAAACTGTTACGGTATCTATGGACTTCGGAACGTTCATACCAGTGACTCTCTTCAAGGAGCTCACAGTGGGTAAAGGAACCTAGAAGGGAAGAAAAGCATGACGAATTTGTGGCTCCTTGAGTACTATCTGTAGTACGCACTCACTGTGTAATGGCTGTCATCAGGAGGAGGCATCCTAGAGAAGAAAACGGAAATGCTTCTTCTAGGAGGGAGGACTTTGAGGTGGGTCTTACGCTTAGATGAGATAGTGACCGGCTAAGGTAGTGCTGCTGAGGGCTCTGGAAAATGGAGCAGGAGGTGCAGGATGGATGTGTTTGGAGACCAAATAGTTTGCCTAGAGGAGGAGCTTCCCATTCCTGGCAAAGAAATGATAACCTCCTGCTGTGACCACTTTTTTTTTTTTTCCCCCCTACCTTAACGCTCACTTGCTTATGCACCATTGATCCTTCCATTTTTCTGTCCACTGCACTCCTTATCCAGTTTGGGATACATGCCATTGTTTATCATTTCGTGTCCGGCGTCTTTCTTATGATGTTTTTTGAGGCTTATCTGTGTTTTGTGTATCAATACTTAATTTCCTTTTTGTGGCTAAATAATATTGTCTGCATCGATGACATTTTGTTTACTCATCAGCTGACAGATGTTGGAGCTGTTTCCATTATTTGTCTGTAATTAATGTTGCTATGGAAATTCATTCATGTACAAGTTTTTTTGTGAACATGTTTTTCAGTTCTCTTGGTCATGTATCTAAAAGTGGAATTGTTAGATAATACCCTAAGTTCATGTTCAACTTTTTGAGGAAATCACTGATCTTTAATCTGATGTCTGAAGTCTTAAGGGGCAGAAAAATCTTATGAAAAATTAAAATATCGGTCTTCCCCAAAAAAGCAACATGTATACACATTTTGAGAAGTAACTTCCAATTTTTCATTAAAGGATCCTCTGAATCATTTCTGTGGAACGTTTGACCCTCTCTTAAACTGTCAGCCTGTCTAGAAATACCACTTAGTAATAGTTTTGCATGTTATCATTGCAAAGTAAGTTACGTGGGCAGAATACTTCTGTAGAAGAAGACTGCCTTAGTAAGGCTGATGTGAACAAGAGGTTAAAAAATACATAAAAGCATAAATAAATACATAAATAAAAGGTGAAAGCTACTTGCAAGATCACGTGTTGGTTGAAACATTTCAGTGAAATTACAAGTTATAGTATTCTGTGTCTTTCAGATGTTATGATATTTCCTTCAGTTGAGCTTTTCTGTTTTCAATTGTGGCCAGGCCTATGCCTTGTGTAAGAGAAGAGCATATTCTCAGTATTCTTTTTCCAATCCTTCCAAAGAAATAGCTCATCCCAGTGTTGTAGGAACTTGCATTTCTAATGGAGCTAATGCTCCTAACTGTATTTATTGCTCTTCAGTTGGAAACACCATGTTCTATGTGTCATCTTTGCTTTTATTTTTAAAAGAGAAGGCAGAGATTAGAGAAAGAAAAAAGCCTGTGTAATCTAAAAATATACTGTAAAGAATATCCATGCTAGAACACATGCGCAATTCATAATGTAGTAGCTAAAATACTGTATATTCAGTAATTCTGATGAATATAGGAAAGACCATACAGTTGAATTATTTTTATTGTCGTAAAAACACATAATATAAATTAGTCCATTAGTGTTACTATAAAAAACATCATTGACTGGATAATTATAAAGAAAATATATTTATTTTCTTATAGTGCTATATTTAAGATCCTTGAGTCCAAGATCAAAGTACCAGCAGCTTTCTTGTCTCATGAGGGGTGCTCTTTCCTTTCAAATGGCACCCTGTTGCTATGTCTTCTGGAGAGGAAGAACGCTGTGTCCTCCCAGGGCAAAGAGGAAAGAGCTAGCCTAAAGTTGAGTGAATCCTCTTTTATAAGAGCTTTACTCCCATTCATGAAGAAGAAGCCCTCATGGGCTGATTACTTCTAGATACCACTGAGGAGAGAAAATGGCATTGTGAAAACTGGCAGCGTGCTACAGCCTCACCAGTATACCTGGGAAACAACTTAGTGAAGAATAAGCAAGAAAACTGAGCAAGAATACTAGAAATCACAGAGAAACTGAAGACAATGCAGAGGAAAGAACAAAGCAGGCTGGAATACTAACCCCAGCTCCTGGGGAGGGAACCTGTCTCCGGCTACAAAAGGTAAGCATGGAGAGGGTTGGCAGCTTCCAAGAGAAACAGTGGACTGACTGCTGTGGTCCCAAGAAAAACTCTTGATATTGTAAACTGTAAATACAGTGTGGGATTTTACTCAGAAAGGGATACCTTCCACATGGCAGGATAGAATTGGAGAAGAAATCCAGTGTGACACCTGCTGTATTTGGGAGGTGATCACGAGCCATTTTGTGGACAGGTTCATTGCTTAAGACAGCTGCTGTAGTAATCGGAAGTCACAGAAGAGCTATACTTTCTGGGGCCACCCTGTCACAATGACTGGGTGGGAGGTAGTCTTGAAGGAGTGGGCTAGTCACAGATCCCCTCCCCTGCTGAGAAGTTTAGCAGTGGCAAGCTCAAGCTGGGAAGGACATTGTGGTCCTGCCCTCTGTAGTAAAAAGCCAAACCAGTTGCATGTGGTTTTCACAGGGGGCTGAGACTGCAAGTAGTGGCGTTAAGTCCAACACATTGCTTGACACTTCTTCAGGGTTGTGCTGCAGTTTGTGTGGTTTATCACACCTGGGATGTATAGACATACAGGTCTCTGGAGCAAGGGACGTGGATACCTCACTGCACACAGCTACACAGATTTAATACAATTCCAATCAAAATGCCAATAGCACCCTTCTCAGAACTAGGAAAAAACAATCATAAAATTTATATGGAACCAGAAGAGACCTGGAATAGTAAGAGTACTCTTGGATAACAAGACTAAAGCAGTAGGCATCCAGATTTCAAGTTATGTTACAAAGCTAAAGTGATTAAAATTTTAAAAAAGTGTTGTACTGGCACAGAAATAGACATGTGGATCAGTACAAGAAAACTGGGTACAGAAACAATATCAGGGTGGCTGGGAGTTTGGCTCAGTGGTTCCAGCAGCATCTGCCTCATAAGCACAAGAGCCTGAGTTTGATCCCTGATACCAAAAAGAAAAAAAAAAAAATCAGAAACAATATCAGGCACATTTAGCCACCTAATCTTTGACAAAGGGGCCAAAAACATGCTGGAGGAATAATAATCTCTTTAACAAATGGTGCTGAGAAAACTGGTTCTCCGTGTGCAAAAAGTGAATATAGGCCCAAATATCTCACCTTGTACTAAAATAAAACAAAAATGAATCAAACATCTAGATATTAAAACAGAAACAATCTGCTGGAACATAAAGTAGGCAGACTGTTTAAAGACATAAGTATAGGCAAGGACATTTTGAGCAGAATGCCAGTTGCACAAGAAATAACACCAAGAATCAAATTGGATTATATCCAATTAAAGAGCTTCTGTACGACAAAGGAAACAACCAACAGAGTGAAGAGGAAAAGTACAGAATGGGGAAAAATATTTTCCAGCTGTTCCTCAGTCAGGATTAATATCTACATTATAGAAAGAACTAAAAAAAAAATCAGATTCCTCAGAAAGACCCAATTAAAGAAGAAATACAAACGGCCAATAAATACATGAAAAAATATTCAGGATCTTTGGCAGTTAAAGAAATGCAAGTCAAAACAACACTGAGATTCCATATCCAGAAAGAGCAGGTATAATCAAAAAACATATGGAACCAGAAGAGATCTAGAATAGCAAAAGCAATCCTGGACACCAAAAGCGAGGCAGCAGGCAATACAATTCCAAACTTCAAGTTATAATACAAAGCTATCATGTTAAAAATAGCATGGTACTGGGGGAAAAAGACACGTGGATCAATGGAACAGAATGGAGGATGCAGAAACAACTTGAGGCACATTCAGCTACCTGATCTTTGACAGCTGTTATGGCTTGTATCTAGGAGTCTTCCCAAAACTTTACATGATGATAGGTGTGGGGTTTCAAAGGTGGCTGGATTAGGATGTGTAAATGTAGATTAAAGATATGATATGGAGTTTAAGTGGGTTGATAAGGAAGGCCCACACTGAGTGTGGTTGACACCACCCAGAAAGCCAGTAGCCTACATGGGATAAAAGGGAGAGACAGGCTTTGTGCTGCTTGTTGTTGCTTCCTGCTTCCTGCTTTGCGTAGTCTTTCTCCTCTGCCATACCACCTTGCCTTGGAGCCAGCTGTCTGTGGGCTGAAACTTCTACAGACTGTGAGCTGAAATAAACCTCTTTTCCTTTAACTGTGGGTTTTGGGTATTTTGTGTCAGCAATGAGAAAAGTAAGATAATAAGAGTATCAAAAATGTACGCTGAGGAAAAGTTAGCATCTTTATCAATGGTGTTGGGAAAACTGACTATCCTCAAGTAGAAGATTGAATCTAGACTCTTATCTCTCACCATGTACTAAACTAACAAAATGGATCCAAGATCTAAATACTGAAATCAAATACCCTGCTGGAAGATGAAATAGATAAAACTCTTGAAGACATAGGTG